CAATTTTCTTATATTAGAAATATAATAGATAATAACTTCTTGATAGTTGATATAAAATTTGTGTATTTTTCATTATTTTAATTATGTCTATTTAGAATATCTTTTCCATTTACAAATCATAATTTATTGCATTTTAATTAATCTAACTATTCTACTACCTACTACTAATAAATGTATATTAGTAAAAGAAACTGATTTTATAATTGAAATCGAAATATTTAGTCACTATTTTAAAAAATATCCAAAACTCAAAGAAACCATTTAAGTTGAGACAGAGGGAGGGAAGAATGGATTTTATTAGTATTTATTTATAATTTAAAAATAACAAATTTAAAGTGTTTTCAAAGGATAATTCCTTATGTAATGCAAATACAAAGAAAGTTGAATTTTTTGTGGAGAAAGTTGAAATTCACAATAATAATTTTTTTGACGGATTAATAACAATTTTTTAAAATCCAAAAATGCTTCAATAACTTGTTCTCTGGTGGTGTTAACGGCGTCGTTAGAGTCACCATTCTCCGTCGTCCTTCTTTCATCACCACCGTGACGTCGATTCAAATCGGATCCGATCCAGCGTTGAACGCAGCATCAATGTCAGGTGCAGCGTCTGCTCTGTTCCTCCTCGACATCAAAGGCCGCATCCTCGTCTGGCGTGACTACCGCGGCGACGTCTCCGCCATCGAAGCTGAACGCTTCTTCACCAAATTAATCGACAAGCAGGTTTCACTTCACTTCATTCTCTCAGATCCGAATTCAAATTCACACTCTACACGATGTCTTGATGAATGATTCGATATTCTTTTTGTTAGGCTGATGAACAGTGTCAAGATCCGGTTGTTTACGATACCGGTGTTACGTATATGTTCACTCAACATAGCAATGTTTATCTCGTGATTGCGACGAGACAAAACTGTAATGCCGCTAGTCTTCTTTTCTTCCTGCATCGATTAGTTGATGTAAGCACTTTTTTGATCCGATCCTTCATTGAATTAGTTTATTGAGTTAGTTTTTCTATGTAACGCGCAATCAGTAACACCGGCTTCTGTGGCAGGTGTTTAAGCATTATTTCGAAGAATTAGAAGAAGAATCGCTAAGGGATAACTTTGTCGTTGTGGTAAAAATGTTGCTCGAAGTAATTTGTATGAATGAATTTGTTGAGTTTTGTGGTTTGGTTTTGAATTTTGATATTTGGATTGGTTGTGTTGTTGGCAGTATGAGCTACTTGATGAAGTTATGGACTTTGGTTATCCTCAATATACTGAGGCAAAGATTCTTAGTGAATTTATTAAGACGGATGCTTATAGAATGGAGGTTACTCAGAGACCTCCAATGGCAGTGACTAATGCAGTGTCTTGGCGAAGCGAAGGGATTAGTTACAAGAAAAACGAGGTGGTTATTAGAGAAGTGAATAATTGTATGTTTTTGAATTGTGATATGATGGTCTTGGCCTCTTAGTTGTGCTTTTCGATTTTTGTATTCAGGTTTTCTTGGATGTGGTGGAGAGTGTTAATATACTCGTCAATAGCAACGGGCAATTAGTTAGATCTGAGGTTGTCGGGGCATTGAAGATGAGAACATTTTTGAGGTTTGCTTCTTGCTTTGCTTGAGATCTACTGCATTTCTAGGTATTGTTTTGAGATCTTTTAGGGTTTTGGTATTGATTGCAGCATCTAAATTCTAATACTCCCTCTGAATGAAGTATAAGCAAATTACACTACTCTCTCTCTCCTATTTTATGACATGATCTCTAAAATACTCCTAATTTAATTTAACTAATTATATTTTCAGAATCAATTTGTTAGTCGAGTAACTTAGACCATAGACTTTATTTTTTATTGAGACTGCCTGGATTAAATGTGATCACTGTTCAACTATTTTTCTTAATATGTGCAATTTTATCTAATTTTGCTAATATTTCATTTTGGATGAAGTATTGTTGGCAGTTTTCTAGGTTGTATTTTTTACTTTTTAATGTTTCTATTCTCATGTCTACTCATATGCGGACACTATAGGGTATGTATGTATATGTGGTTATTGGTGAGGACTGAAGTGATATACATTAGGGATTACAGAGAGTGTTGGGGTAGCATCTATAGTGGAGAAGATGGTGGAAAATAGACTTAGGTGGTTTGGACATGTAGAGAGAAGACCTGTAGATTCTGTGGTGAGAGTAGATCAGATGGAGAGAAGTCAAACAACTAGAGGAAGAGGAAGACCTAGAAAAACTATAAGAGAAGCTATTAAAAAAGATCTCAAGATTAACGATTTGGATAGATGCATGGTGCTGGATAGAACATTATGGCAAAAGTTGATCCATGTAGCCGATTCCACTTAGTGGGATAAGGCTTGGTTGTTGTATAATTTCTAGTGGAAATTCGAGGAATGCAAATGAAATTAGCGATTTGGACTTTATGTTTTTTCTGTTTGTATTGATTGCCCATGGATGTTGCTTTATTCATCTGATACATTAGAAGCTTTCTTTCGGAGCTCATACTGAACAATGGACATATATGTTAAATTTTTACCCATTAGATATTTTGCAGACAGGTCCAACCACTGGATACATGTAGTACATTCACAGTTAAGAGCATTAATTGTGAAGTATCTATCTCGAAATTGACATGTTGTGTTCTTGGCTTATTATAATGTAGTGGTATGCCTGAGTGTAAACTTGGTTTAAACGACCGAGTGTTGCTAGAGGCACAAGGTAGAACAACCAAGGGAAAGGCAATAGACTTGGAAGACATCAAGTTTCATCAGTATGTATGATTGATTTTATTGTCTTTACAAATTGATCACTCAGAATTAAATATTTGATATGCATTTTTCAAGCACTTTTCCTCTTCTTGAAAATGAAGGTGTGTTCGGTTGGCTCGATTTGAAAATGATCGAACAATTTCTTTCATACCTCCTGATGGGTCGTTTGATTTGATGACATACAGACTCAGTACACAGGTTCATCTTCTGTTGATATAAAATAAGTTTCTATTTTGAGAGGTGGTGCACACACCGAACACACTCAGAGAGATCATTTTGAAGTCTCTGTTGATTGTACCATCTCTTTTCAGGTTAAGCCTTTACTTTGGGTGGAAGCAACTGTTGAAAAACATTCAAAGAGTCGGATTGAGATTATGGTAAAAGCTAGGAGTCAGTTTAAGGAACGTAGGTACTGAGACTTCTGTTCTCATATATACCATTTTGCTTTATGTTTTCCTTGACAGAAGATGGCCGATCTTTTCCCTTTAATTCATTCTGTGTGGTTTTTGCCCCAGATTTTAGACTGCCCTAAATATCCTTGTTTCACCAACTAATGGGATTTATTTTATAGCACTGCCACAAATGTTGAAATTGAGTTGCCCGTGCCTGTTGATGCAACCAATCCTAACATTCGAACGTCAATGGGATCTGCATCATATGCACCTGAAAAAGATGCGTTAATCTGGAAAATCAGATCCTTCCCTGGAGGCAAGGTAACGTGGAAGTGACATTGAATCCTTTGAATAATATCCATCTTGATACCTAAATTTGATTTGATGTGATTTATGAATTTGGATCTTCTCTCTTTCATACTTTCAGGAGTATATGTTAAGAGCAGAGTTTCGTCTTCCCAGTATAACAGATGAGGAGGCAACTCCTGAGAGAAAAGCTCCTATACGTGTGAAATTTGAGATACCATATTTTACTGTTTCTGGAATACAGGTATGCTACATAAACATGTTTTTTTTGTGAGTATTGTTAGGCTATTTTTTCAGTATTTGATACAATGTTTGCTTCCTTCAATGACCATGTCTGATCAAAATTAGGAGAATATTTCCTTCATTGTAGTAATATATCATTCACTCCTTCCTGTTGTCTATCTCACCATTTTCCTATTGGTGTATCTGATAGGGACTTGGGGATATTATTGGGTACCCAAGTCTCACATCAAATAATATGGGATGCTTGGTGGAGTAAATAGGTGGCTTGTTTCTTCTCCCTTAATCTAACTTGCTTTTAAGGGAGGGTTTCTCAAGTGCTTAGAAACTTATCAATTGGTATCAGTGTGGCTGTCGGTGGCTCGGAAAGGCCTATGCGTAGGAAGGGCTGACTGGAAAGGCTGAGTAAATCGTTGTGGAGTGCCAGCCGCTGCGACGTTGGCTCTTAGGCGAGGTTCTAAGGTAGGCACTTGGCTATTATGGGGTGCCCAAGTTCTGCATCGAGTAGTATGGGATGCTCGGTGGAGTATTTAAGTTGCTCGGTTCTTCCCCTTCATAGCTACCTTTTATGGGAGGGTTCCCTGAGTGCTTAGATATACTGTTCGAACTTGTCTCTGCCAACATTTTGATTATTTCAACGGACTGAGGGTGTAGTGAACTAAACAAATCTGTTTTAGTTCATTTGTTTTCACAATTCCTTTGTTATGCAGAAGTATTCAATAAATGTTTATCAGTCTTTTTAGCAAAAATTGAATCAATTGATGGTAAAAAAAAAGAACTTGACATCAGAAAAGGTTTAGAAATTAATATGCAATTACGCATAATTTTGTATCAATAAAACATCAGCAATACAGTGATATATTGATGAAATTAAGTCTTACCACTTATTTGATAGTAATTTGTTCATTTAGTAGAAGCTTTGATTATTTGATGGAGAAGGTAATCAAAATGTAATGTGTCTTTTAGGTTAGATATTTGAAGATTATTGAGAAGAGTGGGTATCAAGCTCTTCCATGGGTGCGATACATAACAATGGCAGGAGAGTATGAACTAAGGCTTATTTAAGGTCCTCTATCTCTTTTTGGTGATTGTGTCACATCCTCAATGATCAGCGACTTCAAACATTTGATCGGGGTCTCGGACGGACTCGTTAGAGAAGTTAAAATTTATTTGGCCAAATATCTATCTCTTCAAGATAATCATTTTGGCAACACATTGTAAGTTGTTCTGTCTATAAAGTTCACACCAGGAATTTGCAAAAAAAGCCTGTACCTCGTGTGCAAGTCCTTTCGCCCAAATACATTTATGTGCAGAAAATATATGTTTTTAAACCTCATTTTGCTTGTCATTCACTATTTGATTTCATCTTTTCCATTGTCTTTATATTGTAATATGATTTTATTTACATTTGAAAAAGAATCTTTAGCTTTTGTATTACTGTGTTTCCCCCCCTACATTGTACAATATCAAGTGTTTCTAGAATTACAGTGAGTAATATGATATTGCCTTCAAATGTAGTGTAGTTAATTTCATTTAATATATTTAGATATTCATACTGCAAATACTATTATGCATTGGATAACGAATATTTAAATAAATATAATTCATAACTTGAATTTACTTTAGCAATAACCATGTTTTGAAAAGAAAAAAACACAAATATCTATGTTTTGGAGAAAATGATGCAAATAATCATGTTTTAGAAAATTTTATAATGTCGTAGTCATCTCAGATGGCGCATGTATTGATTTTTTTTAAAGGAGACGTCAAGTGAAATGACGCCTAGGTGCATGTCATTTGCCCTAAGCCATCTCAGATGACGCCTAGATATAATGTTTTTTTTAATGATTTTTTTTTTTGTTAAAGAAATAAAAGGCAATGTCGTTGCAAATGAAAGTTGATTTTCGATAATAATTAAACGATTGCATAATGAAAATAAAAATTACACATTATTTAGTTGTCTCCAGGGACTCGATAACGAGTAGTGTGTTTTGACGTATTTCCTGTTGCGGTTGGGTCGAGAGCCCTGCGAAGTCAATGCGTTTAGGATCAATGAAAGTCGTCAGATCATCATATCTGGAAGATCCGCTTTCAAATAGTCAGTTACATATGCCCTCAAAATTTGGTCGTATTAGTTGGGGGTGAGGTTCCATGGTTGTCTGAATAAGGCGGGGGTAAAAAAGAAATGAACCTTGTGAGATTTAATACTGTGATTGTTGGGTACTATGATGATAGAATGACTGATGGTAAGTTGGATTGGTTGGTGAATATTCTTCAGGTAGGCTAATGTCTGGGCTAAGGTGAGATAACGAGGGGCCCACATCAGAATGTCAGATGTATGGTCGTTGTTCTTGGTACTGTGATTGTGTGTGTATTAGTGTTGGTCTTGGGTACTGGTGGATCTATATCGTCATTGTGTTTGGTGGGAGGTTGATGTGTGTTGGGTTTGTTGTTGTGTGGTGTATGATTGTGTACGTGGGTCAATCAAATATCTCGGTTGAGACATGTGTATTTCAAGGTTAGTAACCGATTTGTACCAATCAATATACTGATCTGTGTGTCGCATATTAATCTGGTTGAGGAAAACAGAGAATCGTAAGACATATTGGTGACGTCTATGCCACATCTTACACCATTCCAGAGCGAAATCTTTCCAATTATTAACACCCCATTGGACGTCGACCCTTTTGAGATGCTAAGATGACAAACAAGTTGGATCGTATGGTATATCTTGATTATTCCGAACTGTATCTTGATACGGTCGCTATGGTGCATCTCCACAATGTTGAACCGTATGATTGCAGTCTTTGCAGTCCAAACTGCTACATCCTCAGGGTTGGGTTCATGGTCCAAACCCAAATATGGTCTCCAAATAAACTGTGGATAAAAATTAATTAGAATAATGATCTTTAAAAATAAATAAGTTAAAAGTAGAAAAGTTTAGAGATACTACGTACATCATCCAGACCAAGGTGATCCAAAATATTACAATATAGAGCACATTGAATCTTGGATTCTTGGTGTAATTCATACCCCTTACACAATACCTAAAAGAATGAAAAAAATATTTAATTTTATACATTTATTTTGCAAAGAGATGAATAATAAATTATTTACGCTATTGACTTACCTTGTTGCATAGGGGAAAATGAATTGATGGTCGTTGACGGGGTTAAGGGACTCAATTCTCCTCCACCAACCCCATGCTTGAAGCAAGAAAATACATCCATAAAAGTACATTTGTTGTTTGTTGAGTTTCTAGAAAGTGTCAAAACCAACACCCATCTTGTTACAAGGTTCGACAAACATAATCACAACTTCATTGTCAAAGAGACAATCGACCACAACGAGGAGCTGCCAAGACAAGAGTATAAGGTTATACTACCATCTTGTTGGTGCGATTGTAGAAAGTTTCAAATCTTTCGTATGTCTTTCTCTCATGACATTGCGACATGTATGTATGCTCATCAAGATGCATTATTACTTTTATCTCCCATTTACAAGGCCGAGACCCTGCACATCGTATACAACAATGGCTTCCCAGTGGTAGCGAAATCAGATTATTGGCATGCATACGAAGGGAAATAGTTTGGCACAATGATCAAATGCGAAAGAATAAAAAATGTCGTCCCAAAAGCAAGCGTATCACAACTGAAATGGACTACCTTGACAAGCTAGAAAGAAAATATGGTTTATACTGTCAACTAGGACACAATCGAAAAAATTGTCCCACTCGTGCTACTAGTTCAACGACATAAATATTGTATGCAAACTATCTGTATTTTTTAAAGATTCTAAACAAAAATTTCTTTCATTAAGAGCATTTGTTATAACAAACCATACGCAAACAACAAATAAAAATACATCACGACTAAAACAATAACAAATAAAACACGTAAATATAACATCAACAACACGATAAAATATCTAAGAAATTGTAACTGTCAAAACAATTTCATCAGATCCGTGCATCATCATCATTAGGTCTCTGCCTGTTTTAACTTCTTCCAACCAAGAATGATGTCTTCTAATTGCAAGTGAGGTGGTTGTTCTTCTTCTCTGAATCCTTCTAAGTTATTTCCCATCTACGATGTTTCCGTCTAACCATCACATCAATTCCCTCTTCAGTTTGTCCATGGAATGAATGTGTCAAAATTTCATTTTCATCCGAGGTTTGGTGACCAAGAAAATAACGTACCAATCTCTGGTGAAAATTATGAGAGATGTCATGATATAAAAAAATAGAGAGAAAATGAGAAGAGAATGTGAGAAAGTGTGAAGAATGATGAGAAATAAGTGTTTAATTTATAGAAAACACATTTGCATGTAGGAGCCATCTCAGATGGCGCCTCCTCCCTAATTTATAGAGTATGCGTCATCTCACATGACATAAAGGAAATGTAGATGCCAAGTGAGATGACACCTAAGGCTAAAGCTCCAGTACCTGTGTCATTTGAGATGACTACTGCATTATAACGTTTTCTGATTCTGAAACATGATTATTTGCGTAATTTTTTTCAAAACATGATTATTTACATATTTTTTTTCAAAACATAATTATTGTTAAAAGAAATTCTCATAACTTCAATTTTATTGAATTTGTAATCAACAAAGTGTACCAAAACACTAAAGTTTTTCAAGGCACCGTTGAAGTTCCCTTGTTTTACATCAATCCGATCTTATTCAATTTTAACACTTGATAGCCTTTTTACCAATTCATTGAAATCATCATCCATGCCAAGCATGCTAACCCTAACAAACTTTGAATCAGCACCAAATCTCTCCCCTTCTCTTGAAGAAATATTCAATTTTCTTAGATAGTTATGACCATTTTCTTTGCCCTCCTCGCATTTCAGCCAAGCAAAACCTGTAGGAGTCAAACAAGAAAATATATATTCAAACCAAATCATAAGTTACCAAAAGTCAATTAAAGAGATGAAAGGGTCCAAAAAAAGCTTCAAGAAATGGGAAATAAATTACTAGGGTATGTTTCAGATATCTCATTGGTGAAATTACAGTAAGCATTTGGATACTTGACTACCCCAAAAACCATGCTTTGCTCAACAGCTTCTCCGAGTTTCTCCCACCTTTCCTTCATGAGACGCTTGCTATATTCAAAGAAGAGTTCAGATTCTTTGGACTTGAGATTTTGGTAACCATCACAAATCACTCCAATGATCTTAGCAGCTCGTGTTTGGGATTCTTTCGACACCCCCATTGAACTCGACTGCACAAATGTTGCCATCTTTTTAGCAACTTCAATGTCCTTCACAATAGCCCATCTTAATACAAACAAATATCAATCTTTAGCATATAGTAATAACTAAAAAACATAAATGGCTTCTATATTAGGAATTTACTACATTTGGTTCATAAACTCACCCGATGCGAGAACCAGCATGACCGGTGCATTTGGAGAATGTGAAGAGCATAACATCATCGTCAGCCTTGTGAGTAATCGGAGTAAATTGCGGCCAATAATACGCCAAATCATAAATAAACTTCCCTTCAGCTACAGAGTTCACCACTGGCTCACGAAGAGTCCCGTCAGGGTTGTTCGGAGAGGTCACCATCTCAATGTAAGGTTCATTTTTATCATACACAGCAGCATCACCACCCCATTGAAACATCCTTGAATGCAATATATTAATCGCACTCTTGTATTCCTATAATAAAAATCAAATACAATGTTAATTAACCTTATATCGGACACGACTTGGATTTCAGCCGTTCAAAGAAACGCTACCGAGTAATAAGGAGCAGCCGCAACAACATTGACAGGATGATCGGGAACATCTAAAGGAGACAGAGCAAACAAAGAAGCTTGAAAGAGCTGAGAAGAACCATTTCCAACCACTATGTATCTATCTTTGGTCACAGCATTTCCAACCAAATGGTGAATTCTCTCAATGGCATCCTTGAGTTCTGGCAACATGTACCAACACATGTTACTCAAATCACTATAGTAACTCATCAACTCCCATCCTTTAATCACCAACGTACACTCGTCATTCATCTGCTTCCAGTATGATCCAAATGCCAATGGATCACCCCTGTTAATTGCACAATCTCATGTAAAATCATCATGTATCATATAAGAAATCTAAAAACTAAAGTGAATTCAAATATAGTATAAAATACTAATGAAATTATATAGATAATTACTTCTGAGCATCAATGATGGAACAATTATTTGTGAGAGGAGTAGAAGGAGAAGAAGCTTCACCTACCACCATGCTTGATTGTGTTCTTTGACAATGGAAGCTTCACTCTTGGTGTTTCCTCTCACCACAATGTTCTTGAGTTATATAACGTAACTGCTCAATTGTGATGAAGTAAGCTACCTATGAGAGATAAGGTCATGTCTTATTTAAACTATTGTCTATCTACTTTGTTTTTAAGTGCCATGTCCAAGTTAATTGAATAACTTATAAGAAAATGGATAAAGTAATGCATAATAAGTAAATGATAGAAAATGTATGAATAATTAG